GAGTAGTCACCCATGTTGTCATACACGAGACCGATGTTGTTGTAGGAGCCAGCCAAATGAGGGTGATTCGAAGGCAGAGCTTTTTCGAGGATTTGATGTGATTTTTCGTAAAATTCAAGTGCTTTCGAGTAGTCACCCATGTTTCTATACACTTCACCGATGTTGTTGTAGGAAGTAGCCAAATCGGGATGATTCGGAGGCAGAGCTTTTTCTTTTATTTTATGTGATTTTTCGGAAAATTCAAGTGCTTTCGAGTAGTCACCCATGTCGTTATACACTTGACCGATGTTGTTGTAGGAAGTAGCCAAATTGGGATGATTCGGAGGCAGAGCTTTTTCGAAGATTTTATGTGATTTTTGGTAAAATTCAAGTGCTTTCGAGTAGTCACCCATGTTGTTATACACTAGACCGATGCTGTTGTAGATAGAAGCCAATGTCGGATCATCTTCCGGGAGACTTTTTCGATTGATTTCGAGTGATTTTTCGTAAAACTTTATCCCTTTTTCGTATTGGCCTTGTTGAAATTTCACTCTACCCAACTCGTGATAGATATGTGCTTTATCACTGTCGTTGGATGTCTGTTCTAGTAGTGCTGTATATAATTCTTCAGCCTTGTCAAATTGACTTATTTTGAGCAGCAATTTACCCAGTCGATACCATCCAGTGCCGCCGACTTCTTGTCGTACACGGTCAGTTAATTGCCGAAGTTGTTGGTCAACATCCGACGTAAGTTTAAGGTCCACTTGATAAAGTGGACTTTTGTTGTCAAGTTTTCGAACTTCACCAATTCGAAAGACGGTGTGCATCGAGAAGAGAATTTCCTCTTCGTCCTTGAAATAACTCACCTCCTGGATGGAGGCAAAAGGAGTCGATGAGACTGTGGGATCGATGGTCATTTGAAAGAGGATACCAACCATATCGGTTGCTCCTAAGGTGCCTTCAGCAAAAGCGAAGGAGACATCACGATCTGTGCTAGTGGATAAAAAGTTGTTGAAAGATATGAGACCACCTTTGTTCTTTGCAAGTTTTTCGAAGTCACCTGTCGATAATCCTTGGCCCCTATAAATTAAAAAGGACTTTCCATGATATTGACTGACCTGTTGGTTGTGTAATTCTTCAATTTGTCGATGAACATCACACAGGAAAAATCCCATTCGGATGATAATGTCGCCATCCAATGTTCTTAATGCTCGATTGAGCATGTTGAACGTGAAGCATTGGCGTGTATACCACCATAATGCCAGCGTTTGATGATAAGTACTTTGAAATTCATTGATTAACTCGAGTCCTTTGGTATTGCCTTTGTATTGTTCTTGGCAATATGTAACGAAGTCTTTAATGGCTTCTTGGTCATGTTCCATATCAAGGAGTATTTCCTGGAATATTTGTGTATACATGAAGGAAGGCTCTAGCTGATTGAGATTTTCGCTAGAACCTCCTTCATGGACACCGATAATACTGACCGTTACTTGATCTTGATTGCATTGTTTGACAGCCAGTGCCAATTTTTCACAGATGTGCTTAATTGATGTATGCACACCTTTAATTTTGGGCCAATTCTTAGCCCATTCTTGGTGACGTTGCTTGTTGTCACAAAAGATATATATGGCATCCAGTTTTGGCATGCCATGAATTTCT